GTGTCAGCTTCCCAAAATGCTGGGATTAAAAGCAATGCACTACTATTCCCAGCCAGGCTGGATTTCTTGATCCCCTCTCCTGCTATCCAGCATCTTGGCCTGCTGTGACCTCTTTCTTGTAACCAAAGGCTCCAGAGTCTCCTCACAAAGAGGTCTCCACTACCTGGAAGACCTCTTTCCAGCCAGAGCTTAGGGACAGCAATGGCTCCATTACTGTGCTGAAGGGGAGACTAAGACCCAGCAGGGGCTAGGGCTTACCCAGCCTCCCAATGAACCAAGGAACAAGGCTGAAGCCTTCCAGAGCACTAGAAGGCAGAACCACAAGGCAACAATTGGTATCAGGGTTCCACTCACTCTGGGCTTCCTAACCTAACATTAGAGGAGCCTTCTAGGGCCACGCCAGAGGAGACCATGTGTATCCAGCTCCTGGGGCTATAACAGGTAGGTAGTACAGAGAAGACATCAAGCAAAGGTGGCAAGCAGAGCAGCAGCCAAGCCTGTGTCACCTGGCTTAAGTATGTTGGGGGAAGGGTGCATGGAATGGCTTAGACACCGCCAGGCCCCACTGGGCCCCTCGGGGCTCCCTACTCCCAAAGGGTTAAAGGGCAGAAGGAACACAGGAAGCCTGGGGGTGGACAATGGAGCCTCTGTCCTCCCCAAGGCCTTGACATTCCTAAGGCATGAACGCAGATAGCTGAGGAGGGGGCCTAAGAGAACATCTCTCTCCACTGAAGCCATAAGCCCAGGCTGGCCACAGACTCTGTCCCTATATGATACAGTGCTGCATGTCAGCCATTGCGGCCACCACCCTTGGCCCCACCCCTTCCCAGCACAGGCCTAAGAGGGACTCTGAGGGGAATCCATGTGGGCACATGAGGATGTATGTGCTCTCTCAACAACAGACACAAATACAAATGTGCACATGTAACCCAACATGTGACCCCAACACAGGCAAACAGGAATGATGCAGTCACACTCAGATACACAGGTGACCAGATACAGGAGCCCCACACATGCAGATAAGAATACTGGAGGGCCTTACACACCCACACACATGTGCATGCACATGCGTGCATGCGTGCACACACACACACACACACACACAAGCCCAAAGCCTCCCATGCAAACCTCTGGACTGGGGCTGCCCTCCCCCACCTCTGCCTGGCACTGGGGTCTTTAGACTGGAGTGCTGGGGAGGGAGGGGGCTTCTGGATGCAGTCCCCATCTTCAAGCTCCATCCTCAGACTGATATTGAGATGGACAGGCCCAGAAGTCTCCCTCGGACAAGTGCATAAAGCCCAGGATGATGCCACCCTCCTGCCCCACCCAATCTCTGGCTTATATGTTGCCCCTGCTAGGTTTGGGGCCAGAGACTGGCTGGTGTAAGCTGCCGAGCAGAGAAACAGTGGCTCTGCAGCTCTCTGACCTGGAAGGGCAAGCTCCTGAGGCCTTGGGTGGGGGGCAGTGGACAAAGAAAAGCTTCCAGAAAGCCCAGCAGACCAGATCCTCCCCCTTGCAAAGGAGCTCCCCGCCCTCCCCGGCTCCTCCCTCTCCCTCCAACCACAGCCTTTAGGAAGCCACAAAGACCCTGTTGATATTTGGGGAGCAGGCAGGCTGGGCTGGCTATTCCCCTCAATCCTTATCTGATTGGTAGCCACCAGGTGCCCACATCCACCCTCCAGGTCAGATGAGGCCCCATGGGGGGCCTGGGCCCAATCCAGGGATATGGAGCTGTAGGACATTTGACGGGGCAGCAGAGCAATCAACCCCAGTGCTGGGACTCACAGCTCAATGCCAACCGCAGGGCTATCAAGGGCCCCTGAGAGAGGGAGGGGCTTTAGGGGAGGCAGGTAGCAGAGCAGAGAGTAGAAGAAAAACAAAAAAGGAATCAGAGAGACAGCAATGAGCTGGGAGGGGAAGGGGTGGGGCAGGTGAGGCAGAGGGAGGGGTACAGAGCAAGAAGGGGAAAGGTGAGAGTGTGAGGTGGAACTAAGGGTTCAGGAAAAGCAGAGGAGGGTTCCAAGATGGCCATTAGAACAAGTGGAGATGAAAGTCTGCAGGGCCTGGGGGCTGCTAAGGGCCTGGTCCACATGGCCCCACCCAGACTTCCCAATCACAGGAACAGAGGACAGGGCAGAGACTGCAGCCAGCTTGGGACAATACAGCAGGCAATTAGACCGTCAGCCTTCCCTAATGTCTAAAGCATAGGGTGGGGTCCTCACTTATATCCATCCACATGGGACCCCACCTCTACTCTACATTCTCCCCAGGAAGATGCTGTCCTAGAGCTAGCCCAGTGCTGCTGGCCATGACTGGCTGGACTTAGCCACTACAAGGCCACATCACCCTCAGTTCTCAGAAGAGCCACCCAGTTGCAGCCATTTCAAATGGTCCAAGTGCTGGGTGTGGTGATGTACACCCATAATCCGGGTAACTAGGGAGGTTGCGGGAAGAAGATGACAAGTTTGAGGCTAGCCGCAGCAACTTAGGGAGACCCTAAGCAACTTAGGAAGACCTCATCTCAAAATTAAAAAACAAAAAGGGCTGGGGACATAGCTCAGTGGTAAAATTCCCCTGGGTTCAATTCCCGGTTCCAAAAATAAATAAATAAAATAAAAATCAAGTGGTAACAGGAACCATTTCCCTTGAAAGAGACCTTGGAGATGAATGAGTCTGCCTCTCATTTGATAGCCAAAAAGCTGAAGCTCAAAGTGGGTAAGGGATGGGGAAGGGGTGGGGAAGGGGTGGGGAATGGCCAATATGGCACATACTGGGCTGTCATTTTAACACTCCCCAGCCAGTGGTGGCCAGGTGCCTGCCACGCAAAGTGCCTGGCCCTAGAGGGAAGGAGTATAGACTTGGTGGAGCCCAACTGGGGAGCACATCTGGCCACCCTTGTTACCCAGAATAGCCTTCAGACAAGGCCCTCCCTCACTGTGTCTTTTTCCCTTCAAACAATCATAAAGAAAAAAAAGTGAATCACCATCTCATGTGGACAGAACAGTGTTGGTCCAGCCCATTATTGGCTCTTCTGTGGGCAGCCAGGAACCTGGCCCAAGTAGGCTACTTGGCAGTGAGACACTTCCCAGCAAATGACTGCCCACCCATGATTACTCAGTTCTCAGAAAGGAGGTGTCTGTCACCCTGAGAGCAGCCTCACCAGTGGCAACAGGGCATGAGATTCCACCACCTCTGGGTGTTGTATGCCTTCATGATGCTCTGCAGCGGGTTGGGCGCTGGGCATCGGAGGAGGGAGCCCCTTGGGAGTGGGTGAGAGCAAACCAGGGAGGCTGGGGAGTGCCAAACGTGTTTCCCTCTTGATGATCAGATCACCAGCAATTCTTAATTTCTTTTGTTCTTTTCTGTATATTTCAAGTGTACTACAATAAGATGAATTACTTTGGGGGTCACCCTACACACATACACAAACATAAATAAATATGGAGAGAAAGAAACATTGGGATGCAGCAAAGAAAAATGGTCAGGAGCCAGGGAGGTGGGGAGGTTCCAGTCCTAATTCAAGCCCTGGCACCAACTTGCCATGCGGTCACAGACAGGCAAGGGTCCCCAAAGGCTCAGACCCCGTGAGTGAGAACACATAGGTACCCTATGGGTGGTGTGCCAGGAGAGAGGCTGGGCTGGGCCAAGTTCCCCCACCTGCAGCACGGAGCCCATCAGAGGTGAGAAGCCCTGGCTAGGCCCCCTGCCTTAGCCACCCCACAGGGGACCGGAAAAATGGGGCTTGGCAGCAGTTCCCATGGGAAGAAGGGTTGGTAGGGCTTATTCACCATCAGGGCCATGTGAGTCAGCAGAGATAGCACTAGGATGCCAGAAGCCCCTACCCTTAGGGCAGTGTTAACCAGGAGCAGGGCATCTACCTGGAGGGAGTGCCAGGCCCCCACTCTTTGGGGCTGACAGATGGTGGGCTTGCCTCCCGAGACAGGCAGTGATGGGTGGGGGCTCCAGATACCCTGCAAAGGGCAGCAGATTGCACTTGGTGTTCTTTGCAATCTCTGTCAACCAAGACACCCTAAAATTCTGATCTAGGAAGGAGGAAATAGGAATTGCAGACCCCTCCCATAATGGAAGAGAGGGAAGACTTGGAAAGGAGCAAAAGACCTGCAATAGGCAGGGACAGGGCCCAAGCATCTTGCTTTCCAGAAGTCCCTGGCCCTGAACAGTGAGGCCCTCCCTCCCTCACCCCTACCTGATGGACCATCATTCTACACCCTGCACATGGGAGGTACATCATGGAGCGCCCAAACACACCTCACCCAGTGCACCCATTATTGGCCACGGAGACTGTGGAAAAGGCTCCCTACGCGCGCTGCGCCTCCAGGGAGGAGGCGCCTCCAGGGAGGAGACCCTGGTTCTGCGCAAATTTTGAGGGGAATCCCAGCTAGAATTTAGAGAGAACAAAGCCCCCTCCCCACTTTGGGGCGGGGGAGGGGAACGCTGGCACTGCCTAGCCCTGTTCCCTCTCCTCCATTGCAAGAGCAGCTTAATCCAATTTCCCCGACCCTATCGTACTGGAGGCTGGATTTTTGGTCAAACAGGTCGCTAGAAAGGGGATGAGGGATAGCCACGCCCAGAACCACACCCCAAGGCGATCGATGGCGGGGCAGTCGACCCTTTTCTCGCTTCCCTTCCCACACACGCACACACCCAAAGGGACATGCCAACTTCAGCCCCACCATCCCATACAGACCTTGCCTGACCACCGCTTCCCCGTGCCCCTCTTCAGGTGCACATTTTGGGCGCCGCCTAGGTACCCCTCACCTGTCGGGCTCAAGCACCCGGTGTCCTACCCCTCCCTGCTCCAGTCCTCAGTGCCAGGAGCCAGGTGCCCAGCATGGGTGGGGCTCCGGCTGCACAGCCGGTTACAGCGGCCAGGGTGGCACTCCCTCCTCTCTCTCCCGGGCAGGGCCGGGGCTAGACGCAGGGGAGCGCAGGGGGTCGCAGTCGCGGCCGAAGCGCTAGGACAGGCCCGTCCGTCTTACCTGCGCTGCTGCCACCCCTCCGGGTGCCGGTCCAGCCTCCGAACACGCCGGCTTCGGACCCGCCGCCCGAGCGGTCTGCGAAGTCGATGCCGATGCTG